CTTATCCTACAGTGCCATACTAGTACGTCTCATGTGACCTAGACATAAATAAATTGAACCACATTAAATTTGTCTATTGGGAATTTCACTCTGAGACTGTGGAAAGGAGTCAGGTATTTTGTAACAAGAGCAGAAATGTCAGGTCACCCATAGAGGAGCCTTTAAAATAATGGAACTAGAGTTGGGATGTTTATTTCTGAGGCCCCAAGGACTTAGGATTCTGACCAACCATCTAAGCTCAATATCAGTGATGTGCAGCATTATGGTGTAACAATTATGTTACCATGTTTGACTCTGAGTGGCGTTGTAGGGTAATCACTGAACTGGCAACAGCAAGATTGGTAGTTCAAACCCACCAGCTGCTCTCAGAAACCTTATACAGGGTCAGGGTCCCAATGAGTTGGAATCAACTAAATGGCACAACAGCAACAGAGAAACACAAGCAAAATGATATAGTTTGGAATTTGCTTAATGTATGCATAAAGGGCTTTCACATGCTTCTTCTTCTTGTCAAGTTCCATTGAGTCAGTTCCAAATCATAGTGACCCTGTATAGAGTTCCCGAAGAGTGGCTACTGAGTTTGAACTGCCAACCTTGCAGTTCAAACTGACCTTGTAGGCCAGTGCATAAGATCAGAGAAAGAGTGAAGAGCATATAGATCAGGTCCCCATAGACTTAGAAAGTTGTAAAATAATGGTTGAGTTTATTTTTGGTAGCTCTAGAAGACAGACCCATCAATAAAAAAAAAAAAAAAAAAAGATCTATTTGCATTTGCATTCAGTTGAAAGACACATTTTCTAACCTTTTGCTCACATGTTACAGTAATTGTGAACTATAAAATTGTAGAGATCACATGAAATATTTAAATGGGATAATTAGAGTTTCTTCAGTATAAATAATATATCAGTTTCAGGTTTATGGAAACATTTGTGAACACAAAGAATTATTAGGGATGGACTTAAACATAAAACTTTTGAAAGTACCTACTTTACCATTTTTAGCATTCATAGTTTTATTTTAGAGAATCTTTGCAACCAGCAGTCTTTTTCTTATGCTTCTTTTTGGGACAATGGCTATACATAAAAGTCTCTACTTAATAAGATGCTCACTGCTATCATGTAGAATGGATGTTGTTGTTAGGTGCCATTGAGTGTGCTCCAACACATAATGACCTTGTACAGGGTTTCCAACACTGTAAATCTTAATGGAAGTAGAAAGCCTCTTCTTTCTCCTGCAGAGCAGCTCGTGGACTTGAACCACTGACTTTGTGGTTTGAAATCCAGTGCTTATCCTACAGAGCAACTGTATTCCCATTTTAGAATGGTTCATGATCGTTATAAGCTGCAGCATGGAAACATAAAACTGTGTGTGACTTCTTTAAAAAATAAGTATTGTTGTTGTTGGTAAGTGCCATAGAGTCAGTTCCAACCCATTGTGACCGTGTATCCGGGTTTGAACCACCGACTTTTCAGTTCAAACTGACCTTGCCGTCCAGGGCATTAACCCATGTTGAAAACAAAGCTTGTGTTACACCTTCCCCCTCCTGATTCTTTTCTCTTCCATTATTCCCATTGATTCATTCAGTTAATATTTGATGGGACCACACATGTTCATACGCAGATGCACTCAGGTCCTACAACAACTGTTACAATTTAGTGGCAATCAGATTAGGTTTCCTAGTATATTCCATTCCCCCTAGAAATTTCCACTGCTCATTGTGATGGATTCTTAATAGAAGTTGGGGAACATTTCCAACCATAGTCATCCAGTTTCATTTGTAGCATATTTCTGTACCACAACCCCAAAAGGTTTTTTGGCTTCCAGTCCTTACTTGTACTGCTAACTTTTCAAGAAAAAAAAAAAAATAGCCACTGTATTTTTTGTATTTTTTATTCCCTGGAATCAACTAGAGTTGATTATAATGAAGCTGCAAAGTGAAACAGAAAGTCAGAGAGTTTTAAATTATACCTAGAGCTTACACATTTTGATGGTTATTTGTTTTGAGTATGGTTTAAGAAGTGATTTTTAAGTTGCCGAGTGTAGTTTGATGGCTCTAAATTCATGTGCTATTACCTCGTAGCCCCAGAAGATTTCGGACTTGTTCTGGCAAAACCTTGGCATCTTTTCCTTTTGTGTAAACACAGTTTGTGTATTTTCATCGGCTTTAGTAGTTTTTGATTGTGTAGCTTACAACATGTTGATGCTGAGTTTATTTGTTATTAATAATTATTTTTTGAGTTTTCCAATGATGTTTACTCAGTAGAAACTGTACACATGAAATGGATTCTTTCATGTCAGAGAAACTTTAGCTTGTGGAACAGAAGGAAGCTAATGTGAGATTTGTGGTGGTGGTGTTAGGTTATGAATCTAAGTTATAAAAGTCTATACAATTCCATTCGAGTTAGCTTTTTAATTGATAATTTTCAAAATATATATATTTTTTAATGTTCTAGCATAGTGGTTACGGGTTCAAAACCTCTAGGTCAGCTGCTCAAAACTACCAGCTGTTCTGTGGGGAAAAGATGAGGCTTTCTGCTCCTGTAAGGATTTACAGCCTTGGAAACTGTGTACAGGGTCACTATGAGTCAGGATGACTCAATGGCACTTAAAAGCAAAACAAAAAACAACTATCTACTGATGTAATACATATTTTCAAATGATAAGTTCAGTTACATTAACATCCTTTAAAAAATTTGATGCTTATTATTCAGATCATAATTTTTAGTGAAAATATTTTTTATGAATACATTTTTATTAATCAGATAACTTGCTATTGGAGTTTAACCTCATATTGCTAAATTTTAACTAGTTTATTTTAAACTTTTCATGTGATGGTTAGTGTGGTATCTTTTTATGCCTACAAAATTCTTTTGTCTCTAAAGTAAATTATTATTATAAATTTTTACATAGATAGCATTTTGCTATATAAGGGGGCTTCAAAAGATGATATGCCCTGTAAACTTTCACTCAATCCACTATAAAAACCTTGAATAAAAAAAAAATTCATGGAAAATGAAATAAAAGGATAGTGGAATAGTTCCACAAACTCTTTGAAGCCTCCTCATATGTATTAAACTTATTTTGATTATCTCTAGTTTTGGTACTCTTTAACTGGGAACCACAAGGTCAGTGGTGCAAACTCACCAGCCACTCCTTGTAAACCCTATTCATGGTCACTATGAGTTAGAACTGACTTGGCGGTACTTAACAACAACAATAGCAATTGGGAAATGTGAGCAATTTTTTGTTTCCTTTAATTTCACTCTTCCTCATACATTTTAAGAATATCTAAGTGGCACTGGAAGCAGCAGTCAAGAAACAAACGATGTATTGCATTAGGCAAACCTGCTGCACAAGACCTTTTAAAGTGTTGAAGAGCAAAGATGTCAGCTTGAAGACTAAGGTGCACCTGACCCAAGCCATGGTGTTTTCAATAACCTCATATGCATGTGAAAGCTGGACAATGAATAAGAAAGACTGTAGAAAAATTAATGCTCTTGAGTTATGGTGTTGGAGGAGAATATTGAAAGTGCCATGGGCTGCCAAAAGAACCATTAGCTATGTTTTGGAAGAAGTACAGCCAGAATGCTCCTTGGAGGCCAAGATGGCCAAACTTCGTCTCTCATACTTTGGGCATATTGTCAGGAGGGACCAGTCGTTGGAGAAGGATATCATGTTTGGTAAGGTGGAGGGTCAGAGAAAAAGAGGAAGACCCCCAGTGAGATGGATTGGGCAAGTGGCAGCATCGATGGACTCAAGCGTGGCAACAATAGTGAGGTTGGCCCAGGATTCAACTGTGTTTCATTCTGCTGTGCATAAGGTTGCTATGGGTTGGTACTGACTCGATGGCACCTAACAACAACAAGTGTCACTGGGGAGTAGGTGCTGGGTTAACAAACATGAGGTTGGCAGTTCAGACCCACCAGCCACTCTGCAGGATGAGACTACCTGCTTCCTCATGATCTGAAGCCTCAGAAACCCTATGGTGGTTATGTGCCATGGAGTCGGTTCCAAGGCATAGCGACCCTGTACAGGGTTTATGAGGCTGTGAATCTTTACAGGAACAGAAAGCCTCATATTTCTCCCAAGGAACAGCTGGTAGTTTCAAACCTCTGACCTTAAGGTTCACAGCCCAATTAGTAACCTTATATAGAGTCACAATTGACTTAGTAGAAGTTGGTTTGGTTTGGGGGGTAAAATAATAGATTGCCAGATGATAATGAAAATGGAAGTATTCCCTTGAATAGCTGTCCATATCTAATATAAAATAAAAGTTTCATTTCATCTTTAATTTTTTTCAATCCTGAGCAAAATATTTTATAGTGTATGTGGCACTGTAGAATAAGCACTGACTGCTCACTGCAAGGCCAGTGGTTCAAACCCACTGCTTCGTGGAAACCTTTTCAGGGTTACTGTGAGCTGAAACTGACTCGAGGTCATTTAACAGCAACAAAACTCTGTACAGCTATAGGTCAGATGCCACTTTTCAATACTAGTAATATATAGTATAATTATAGATTGTAACTTTCTTTCAATAATTAAATCATAATGTCTCTGTGTTAAAAGTATTTGTAACACTTTGTACTTTTGTATTATGGAAGTAAGTAATGTTTTTATAGTTCAAATTACAATGTAAATCATTAGCTATTTATTACAGTTCAAGAATCTTGCTTGCTCCAGAAAAGTCTTACTAGTCTTTAGAGCTTCTGACTTCACAAGAATTTTGAACATTTTTTTTCTTTTCTCATACTTACATCAACACTAAATATGTGCCAAACATAAACTGTTCATTTTAGTGCCTTTATAATTTGTATACATTCTCAATTTAAGTATAAGAGATTTGGAATAAATTCCGTTTATTGCAAATGGCAGTAGTTCAATCTGTAACTTCTTGATGACAAGTAAATACATACATACTATTTATAAACCTGTTGTCTTTTGTCTAAATGGCTCTACTTCAAAAAAATATATTTTAACACCTTATTGGTTCTTTGTTTTAGATCGGGGTACTGTGCAGAAGGTGGTTGTTCTTCCTACTAACAACTCTGCCAGTGGTGAACTCATTCTGGAAGAACTGGAAGTTTTCAAGGTTTGAACATATTTTATATTAATTTGTTTAATCTTACAGCCACTGGCGAGGACAATTGATAAAAGATTAAATAAATGAATGCTATCTATTTTTTGTTTTCACAATGATGGGGTTTATTAAGTAAGTAATAGGTTACAATTCAGGATTAGAAGTGACTCAGGATATAATTTTGATCAGTACAGCCTCTTCTCAACAGTGTCCACAGGCATGCCTCTCCTTGGCACTCAGCCCCTTGACTCCATGGCCCCTTGGCCTCTACTTTGCTCAGGTAAATTACAAAACTCTTTGGGCTCTTCCAGTAAGTGCACACAGGTACTCCACACTTCCAGTAATCCTTGATTTAAAGGCGCTTGTAGCATAGTGGTTACGAATCGGGCTGTGATTCGCAAGGTCAGCAGTTCGAAACTACCAGCTGTTCCACTGGAGAAAGATGAGGCTTTCTGCTCCTGTGAAGATTTACAGCCTCAAAAACCCTGTATAAGGTCGCTGTGAGTCAGAACCGACTCCACGGCACATAGCAACAACAGCTCATCTCTTGGCAAATTTAGCAAGTTGCCTGGGGCCTCCCTTCCATTAACAAGCCTGTTGCCCAAAGGCACTCAGCTTTCTCACTCCATGAACCAGGAATCCCACCATACTCTTCTGCCTGGTCTCTTTGTTCTGCTGCCTCTGAGGCCTGTCTTTTCTCTCCTGCAGCTTCTTGCTTTCTCTGATGTCACAGCTCTGTGTTCTGGATAAAGAAAGTTCTCAGACCAAAGGACATGATGTTATTACATTATTAAGGGTAGGAAACACAGATCAAGTAAGAAATATGGACACATATTTTTAAGAGTTATTTTTTTTGGTAACCATTCAAGCTATTGTAGCATCAGAGGATTAGTGTTTTTCAGCCATCATCACAACTTAAAGAAATGTTTTTTAACTTGAAGAATTTGGGTCATAATTATTTTTTAAAATATGAATTCTTGTGGTCAAGGTCTGGAAGACATAGCCATGAAAGGACTTTTATCATTTGCTTCACAAGCCACTGAAACCCAAATACTTTCACATAATTGATTGTTAGATAAGCTTTCTCATATTTTTTTTAGCCATGGATTTAAAGAAAAACTACTTTGTTTTATTGCTATCAATTCAAATGTCACTGTACTTAAATAAGACAAATATCCTCTCTCTACCACTCAGAACTTCATGTTCTATCTGAACTTGAGGTTCATAGTACTAATCTATCTAATGAATTTGAGTTAAAAACAAAAAGAAAAAAACCCAACAAAACAAAACACACACAACAAAAAGGCAGTTTGGCCGTCTTTTCTTCATGTGTCTGTGAGTGGATAGGGGGCATTTGTGGTATTGAGCCATACCCTTCTCTCTTTATAGTGCTGGTCACTACTGGTCAGTTAGTTCCTGTTATCAGAATATGGAAACATCCAGTTAAACAATCACATGAGCTGATTGTGTTGATTAAAAAAAAAACAAACTTTGGCATAGAAGCATTCTTGCTGCAGGCTACTCCTTTCAAGTAAACCAGTTAAGAAGCAATGAACCAAGAAGGATGAAAAATGAGAGTCAGTGTAGGACTGAGTGAAAATAGCACTTTAAAACTCCCAAAAGTTCTCTATTATTAGTGCAAAGTGTCTTTACTTTAGTTGCATGGACTCAGAATAAATTGACTCATTAATTTCCATGGTCACAAAAATATTGAATTTATGATCATATAAATGACAAAGATGCAATGCTATTAGATAATACTAATACATTTTACATGTGCATAAATATAAAAAGGAATCAAATCAAATAGAAAATCTGAGGAACCCTGGAAAATTTCCCACTATATTATTTGAAATGTGTAATTCTTAATGCTAGGCTCTCATGTAGCACTATAGGATAAGTACTTGACTGCTAACCACAAGGTTGGTGGTTCAAGTCCACCAGCAGATCCTTGGAAACCCTATATAAGGTCACTATGAGTCAGAACTGACTTGATGACAAAGGACGACAATGACAATTGTAGGCTCTGGTATATGATCCTTTTGCCATTCGTGTATTAAAAGCTTACCCACTAAAGCCTGTTCAAGTGCTCTTACCATGCTTTGTTTTTATAGACATTGACTAGGTCACTAGATAAATCAAAATCACATTATGTATAAGGTTTCTTTTACTTTGTCACATTCAGTTCAGAAGGGATAACTGACCAGTAAAAATAACGTAAAGTGTTCTGGTGTTTTCTTATGATAACAAGCCTGTCATATTGCAGCACTTCATTTTTAATACTGAAATATCTTTCTTTGATAATCAGAAAATATTATTAATTAAGTGAGTTTGATAGAAACCCAAACATGCATGTTATGGGAAGGTTTTAAAGAAAAGTGAGTTACTCTGAATGTGTGTTAACTACTTACAGTCTGTTGTATGAGTAGTGTCAGTGTTATCAACACAAAGAATAAAGTAGAAAAATAAGAGACAGTGTAAATGAATGTTGGGGACAGCAGCCCAAGAGAGACTGAAAAAGTTTTGACTTTCTTATTGATGCGTGTGCCAGTGATTGATACGACTAAGTCACGAGACACACTTACCGAATGCAGTAACTGTCTTCAGCATAGTGTTTGTCACATTTTCTGAGGTGAGGTAAAAATAATTGGGTGTGTGTGATATACAGTGACGGGCATGTGAAAAAATAACACATTTAAATGGAAACAATTCCTTAGCAGAGGGTCACACTGATATACCAGAGGAAAATCAATGTAACTTTCAAATACCAGACACTTCATTTTCATAAAGCGAGGAAACACAGTATCTTCTTTTAAACCTCTGTTCATGTTATTTTTCTAAAAGAAGCAAACTTGAATTGTAGGTACAAATATTAGAGGTTGTCTAAGTAGATACAAGTTATTTATGTATTTAAGGGATGGAAAAAAATTGTTACAATTAAGTATTAAAAATATTCCTACTTTCTCTTTAAAATTATTGTAAGTACATGCAACACCAGAGAGAAAAATATAATTTTGAGTACAATTAATTTTGAGAGTTTTCTCACTCAATTTATTAAATATATCTTAATGAATCTTCAGTAGAAAATCTGTGAAGTCTAATTTTTTTATTGTTAATATGAACTAATAATGTCTAAGAAGTAACGTTATGAATGGAATGATTTTCACAAAGGATTATAATTTCAGAAAAACCTCAGGTGCTTTCAATAATTCTCATTTATAAAAAGGAGACATTTTATAGCAATATAGTTTTTTTGTCTCCAACAAAGAGAATTAATACACATGATTCATGCTAATGTCTTTTCAAAGCAGCATTTACAAACTGAACAATAGTCTCTTATTCAAAGTGCCTGTGGTAGTGATGATGGTGGTTGTGTGAACCCTGTATAGCGTTTCTGAGACTAAATCTTTATAGGAGCAGAAAGTCACATCTTTCTCCCATGGAGCAACTGGTAGATTCTAACTGTTGACCTTGCAATTAGCAGCCCAATCCATAATCATAATGCCACCAAAGCAGTAGAGGACTATGGTGGAGAACCATTCCACAGCCTTTCCAGTATCTAAGTCCACTCCTAGGTTATTGATTAAAATCAATATTCTAAGAAACACATTTTTCAAGTACCTATTCTCTACTTTTCTTATTATTGTCTCCTTGCTCTTCATCTAATGTTCCTCCGTCCTTAGTTGCCATACATCACTACAACAGCTTAGAAGTAACTAAATAATTAAGGTCAACATCAACATAAGAGCACAAACATGATTGAGTTGGAAGAGTGCTTTCATATTTGGGTATGGAGTATATGAAGAGAAGGGAAGAAGATGAAGAAGAAAGAAGTTATTTCATGAAGACATTAAGGTTTGCCTACTATTGATCCTGTAGCTCCGAGTGAATGATTATCCAACTAGGTCAAAGAAGAAGACATTATCCTTTGACAATAACCTGGAAATAACCTGGGCCCTGGTGTGGCGCTGTGGGTTAATGCGCCAGACTGCTAAGCCATTGGAACTGCGAGATTGGCGGTTCAAGCTCACCAGCTGCTCCTCGGAAACCCTATACAGGGTCGCTATGGGTCGTAACCAACTCAACAGCACTTCACAACAACAACAACAGTATATGAAATAGCTTTAGTCAACTGGCCTAGGCAGCACTCCAAAACATGGTAAGAATAGCTCTTTGTTCCTCTGTCCAGAAATTCGGGGAAGCTAAAGAGGTGAACAAATAAAAATATAGAAATGTGACAATTATCAATCCCTTCATCTTCACCAGAAGTGATGTATTAGGAAGTATATACCAATGTTGCTTTACTTGTAGTAAAGATTGGAAATCTGAACGTACCATTTTAGAAAGTGTGACAGATACCAGCATTATGAGGGAAGATATGGTCTTATTTGACAAATATGCCTGATAAAGATGTTACCAGCTGAGTCTTAGCATACTGTTTACCCTCGCTTTTATAGTAGGTAGGATTCTATTCCAATACCTGGAAAAAATATATCAGGACATATCACATTAGTTAGTTGAAGACCCTGGTCTTGAGAAATGAAAGTAAGTTGAAGTATTTAAAAGGGAAAAATGCTTAGTTCCTCAGAATATTTCTTCTCAAATTTTCATTTTCTTTAATGTCTTGGTAATCCCCTTAACTCAGGGCTGACTAGTCAATGTTGACTCATAGTGACCCTATAATGATGGTGATCTGCTGCCAAGCGGCTCTGGATTCATAGCAACCGTGTATAGAGTTTCCGAGGCTGCCAATCTTTACAGGAGCAGAAAGCTATAACTTTGTCTTGCCAAGTGACTGGTAGATTCTAACTGAATGCATAACCACTACACAACAGAGCTCCTTGTGACAGAGTAAAACTCTGACCCTATGAGACAAAATGGAGAGCATGGTTGCTCTGTAGAATAAGCACTGGACTGTCTTTCAAACAAGGTCAGCAATTCAAGCCCACTGGGCACTCCATGGGAGAAAGATGAGGCTTTCTGCTCCTGCAAAAATATATAGTCTTGGAAAAAGGGTTGCTATGAGTCAGAACCGACTCAACAGCACATAGTAATAATAATAACAATAGGACAGAATAGGGCTTCCAAGGAAATAAATCTTTATGGAAGCAGATTGCCACGTCATTCTCCTGTGGAGCAGCTAGCAGGTTCATACCATTGACCTTTCAGTTAGCAACTGAGTTCTTCACCACTGTGCTTCATATATTATGATTGGTGTTATTGTTAAGTGCCATCGAGTGATTCTGATTCGTAAAGCAACCCTGTATAGTGTTTCCGAGGAACAATTGGTAGGTTTGAACTGCCAATCTTTAGGTCCAGAACTTATCCTATAGTGCCACAGCAGAACTCCTCATACATTGATGTTATTGTTGTTCAGTGCTGTCTCATTGGTTCAGACTCTGTATAGGTCACTATATGGTGACCCTGTATAGGGTTTGTGAGTAGCGGCTGGTAAGTTTGAACCACCAACCTTGCAGTTCAAACCATCCTTGAAGTCCAGTTTGCTATCCATGTGCTATAATTGCTAGTTTACTTTAGGCTTTATCTGTACAACAAATCCATCCTTAGTTACAACAAGAGAAATACATTGTGCAGAAGTGTATTGCTGAACTTTGAACGTATGGGTGCATGATAATCCCTGAATATTAATAGAAAACCAGAAGCCTTTTAGAATGTTAAATCCTTTTAATGATCATTTGAGTACTGACATGGTTTTTTTTTAATGTTTCAGAATTATGCTCCCATAACAACCATGAAAATATCATCAAAAAAGGTAAAAAAAAAAAAAAAAACTACTCCATTTCTATTTTCTTTATAGATTATGATGTTTTGCTATTTAGAAGGTGCATTTTATAATTGCCGAAGATTTAGTTTCAAGATTTGCCAAGTAAACTTGTTTAAGGTACTTGTAGGCCACAAAAAATTGCTTTAATTGTGATGTAGAATTTTCCACCTATTAGTAGAAGACTAAAAAGGTTTGTTTTTTTTTTTAAATTCATCCGTACAGAACATATAAACAGCAAGATCATCCAACATTTTGTATATTCTATATTCTCAAATATTGCAGTATGTGAAGCCAAGCAAAAGAGAAATAATCTTTCTAAGGAAAGCATTTGGCATAATGTTTGGGCTACTATAACATCACAAACATTCTCAGGAGCCTGGAATGAATAACCTCTCTTCTTTTTTTATTTCCTTCTACTGTCACATGTTTGAAATGTGTGGTGCATTACTTTATGCTTATTTTTAAGGAAATACTATTTCCAGAGATTATACATACCATTTTTTAAAAACCCTGGATGTCTCAAATATAAGTGCTGTGTTTAGAATTTGATGACTAAAAGTTTGACTATGATTATCAGAAATGCTTAATCCTCTAGTGTGTTGCTGCACATGCAAATATGCAATTGCAAAAGGGAAATCTCCAGTTTCAATCTCTGCAAAATATGTATCTCTTCAGTACCCAAAGGTATGATTTCTAAAACAAGAGATTTTAAGAGTTAGAGTAGTGTAGCCAAAATGCAGTAGGCTTCAGAATGGGACTGACATGTTATTGAACCCCAGCTTGGCCATAAATTAGAGACACATCATTAACCTTCCCTGACCTGAGTTTCTGCATCTGTGAGACAACGCATTTCTCACAAACAAGTTAATTTATATAAATTGCCTAGAATAAAGTGAGTTCTCAATAAATGTTATCTGGGAGAGCCCGGAACTTATTTTTCTTGGAAAACAGAATAAAGGTTTTATGGTTAGCTCCACAGATTACATAATTTTAGTGCTGTTCACCATATTTGGTCTGTTACAGTCAAAGAACTATTTCATAGTCAGACTTGTCCTCTTTTTACATGGCAAATTTTTTTGAAGAAAAATAAATGCATTACAAAGGAGTTAAAGATCTCATCTGTAAAAACGTTTGTATGCTGCATGACAAACATTTTTCCAAGTAACAAGAAGCCATTTGTAATTTTGCCTAATGTCCTGGGGAGTTGATCCCAAGTCAGAATTGACTTTGAAGTCAGCAGGGAAGCCCTTTGTTTAAAGTGGTTTGATGAAAATAGAAAGTATCAGAGCAAAATTCAACATGAACACAAAGCCATTTGTGTGTATTAGTTCTGCATGCAATGACAAGTTTCAAATTATTTGTAGTTCACAGTCCACTTTGCAATATTATAACATACAACACACACATCCATACATGGGAGTAACTGAGAATTAAATCTGTCTCACCAGCAGCATCTTACATTGTACATAATTATATTTTTGTTGCTAAGTCAATTACTTCAAGGTAGGGGTAATTATTTGATTTTTTATAAATCTTTGCACAACTGCATTATTTTTTCCAGTATGAGAGAACTCACAAATTCTATATAAAAATTTTATGAATATTTAAATGCCATGAATTTAGTATATTTACAAGTACTCAAACATCATTGTTAATTTTATGCTCCATTATTCTGCTTTAATTTATCCTTTGCCTTCATGTAGCAGAAAACAGTTGGATTAATGAGATCATTTGTAGAATGAAACCAAATGCATCTTTTTCTCAAATAAACTTTCCTTAAAATATTTTAATCATCTGTTTATCCTGTTATACTATTTATTAATTTACTCAATAAGCATTTACTTTAAACCTTCCTAGAGAGATGGTTATTGTCATAATACAAAGATATTTTCTCATACTTTCAATTATTTTCAGGAAATTGTCTAAAAAAATTCATTGATTTGAATAAAATTAATATTTTGCATTATATGGGATAAAAAGATATGTAATCCAAATGATTAATTGGATTTGAAAATGTGCAGATTGATAGTCTGTTCATGGATAATTTACCATTAATTAAAATTCATTGAGAACTTCCTACGAGTCAAGAACTGCCCTAAGCATTTTATATGGCATTAACCCTTACAACATTTGGTGTTCTACAACTCTTTTGGATAGGAACAGCATTATTCCAATTTTACCAATGAGGAAGAAATTATTTAAAAGATTACATAGAAAATTAGTTACAGAGATGGGATTTAAAGTCATTAAGCCTGTCTGTAAATTATATATTTTTTTATGTATTGTTGTTAAGTGAGTCAGTTCTGACTTATAGCTTGAACCACCGACCTTGTAGTTCAAAATGACCTTGAAATCCAGTGAATTAACCCACAGTGCCACACTAGTATATATGTATTACTCATGGAAGCAGCAGTCAAGAAACCAAACAATGTATTCCATTAGGCAAATCTGCTACACAAGACCTTTTTAAAATTTTGAAGAGCAAAGATGTCAGCTTGAGGACTAAGGTGTGTCTGACCCAAGCCCTGGTATTTTCAATAACCTCACATGCATTCGAAAGCTGGACAGTGAATAAGGAAGACCATAGAATAATTGATGCTTTTGAGTTATGGTATTGGAGGAGAATATCGACTGTGTCATGGGCTGCCAAAAGAACCAATATATTTATGTTGGAAGAAGTGCAACCAGAGTGCTCCTTGGAGGCCAGGATGGCAAAACTTTGTCTCTCATACTTCAGACATATTGTCAGGAGGGACCAGTCGCTGGAGAAGGATATCGTGTTTGGTAGGGTGGCAGGTCAGAGAAAAAGAGGGAGACCCCCAACGAGATGGATTAGCACTATGGCAGCATCAATGGGCTCAAGCATGGCAACGATAGTGAGGTTGGCCCAGGATCAGGCAGTGCATCGTTCTCTTGTGCATAAGGTTGCTATGAGTTGGTACCGACTCATTGGCACTTAACGATAACGAAATATATACATATGTGTGTATATATATATATGTTGTTGTTAAGTGCCGTCGAGTCGGTTCTGACCCATAGCAATCCTGTATAGGGTTTGTGAGAAGCAGCTGGTGAGCTTGAACCACCAACCTTGCAGTTCAAACTGCTTTGCAGTCTGGCACATTAACCCACAGTGCCACACCAGGACTCCATATATATATATGGAGCTCTGGTAGTGTAGTGGTTTCTAGTCAGGCTGCTAACCTCAAGGTCAGCAGTTCGAAACAACCAGGCATTCCATGGGAGAAAGATGAGGCTTTCTGCTCCCATAAAGATGTATAGTCTCGAAACCCTATACAGGGTCACTATGAGTCGAAACCAACTGCATCGCACACCACCACCACCACCATATGCGCATGTGCTTGAGTGCATCTATTCAACTTTCAGTTGTTGTTGTCAAGTGCCATTAAATTCATTCTGACCCATAGTAACCCTGTATAGGATTTCCAAGGAGTGATCTTTAAACATCCACCTTGAGGTTCAAACCTACTTTGCAGTCCAGCACATTAACATACAGTGCCATACCAGGACTCCTTTCAACTTGAAGTTGCAAATGAACCAGCTTGGAGATTCAGTACTAACATGGATTATGTAATATCAGTTCTTTGAAAAATGAGAAATCTTTACTGGAAACTCATTCCTTTAATTCTTGAGAACCATTGTATACACAGGTAAAGGATCTAGAGCAGTATCATAAGCTCTTGACATCCTAGAGCTTACAGTAAAATGAAGGTATCTGAAATCTCTAATCATGACAACATTTGGGTAATGAATATATTTTAAATCCTGCTGAAATTTTAAGTTATACCTCAATGTGGAGTCCTGGTAGTGTAGTGGGTTACGATCTGGGCTGCTATATGCAGGGTCAGCAGTTTGAATCTACCAACCGCTCTGTAAGAGAAAGATGGTGTTTTCTGATCCTGTAAAGATTTATAGCCTTGGAAGCCCTATATGAAAGACCCTTCCAGAGGGTTGCTATGGAGGAAATTTGAAATTTTTATTAATAAAAACTTCTGGGTGATGAATATTTTGAATCCTACAAAGATTTAAAGTCATAGCATAGTGGTTATGAATCGGGCTGTGCACCGCAAGGTCAGCAGTTTTAAACTACCAACTGTTTGGCAGGAGAAAGATGAGGCTTTCTACTCCCATAAAGATTTACAGCCTCGGAAACCCTGTTCAGAGTCGCTATGAGTCAGAACCAACTCCATGGCACATAACAACAACAACAACATAAATATCATATGTTATTTTCTAAATAATATCAAAACATTTTTCAAGAATAATATGTCAAAAAATGATGTTTGCACAACCTTGGAACTACAGGGCTCAGAAATACAGAGATTGACCCATGATTGGAATGGGGAAAAGGTGGGAATAATGTTAAGATGCTCGGCAGTCTTTTGAATCTTGGTTTTCCTTGCATTATAATATAAAATAGACACCGGAGGGGGAGAGAAAGGAATAGTCAGAAACTTCACCATAGAAAGCTTGTAAGTTCGTCTTCTGCCTATAACTGATTGGAATACCTAACATGGAGCTATAAAGTGCCCAGGGAAGGAGGCTTCCTGCGGAACCTTTGCAATACATAAGACTATAGGTAGAAGCCTGAACCACATCCAGATCTCCAGAGATGGGAAATTCCCTCTTGAAAGGACGAGCAAACCAGCCTGGAGTGGCTAGAAGAACAGAAGATACTTCTTGAAAGAAAGACCTACAGGAAAAATACAAAACAATAGAGGCATATGGACTGTTACTACAAGAACAAACAAATTGCTTGCCCAAGAAACATCAAGGCAAGTGGTCGGGTCCCCTTAATGCAAACCCCCTTCCAAGACTAAGACTCAATGGAAATACACGCTCTGATTGGTGACCACACGCATCGCCAATAGGGGGAAGTGGGGTAAAAGCAGCAATGAAGCGGCAAGCTAAGCCCTACAATGTTTGGTGGGCTTCTGTGGACCCAGATGGGGACCTGGTTGGCCAACAGTGTAGGGAAACCTGGGGACTCTTGGGCCCAGAGTCAGCGGCATGGCCACAGAGGACTAGAGTGGAGAGTGAAGCAACCAGCTGATACGAAGAGAGGGCATACGCACAAGAACACCCACACTTGCAGATGGTACCCACGTGACCTGGCCCAGATGAATGGATGACCAGAACTCAACCAGGAGAAGAAAGAAGAGGGGAAAAAAAAGAGTGATCAGATACAATTTGATGAATTTGACCTACACCTATGGATGCAGTAACTCAAAAGAGGAAACAAATCCTTACAGCAAGAAACATTCCCACCCCCTCCACACACCGAGTAGACAGAGATGGGCAACTTGGACATTGGATACCCAAATTGGGCGGGGTGGGGGGACTACAAAGGCAAGAAGTGACTGGCTTACAGGCTTTCAAGAGGGAACCTAGAGCTAGGGGGCATGGAGGAAGGCAGAATCTCCAGTGAGTACTATCCAGTCTGTCTAGGCAGAGCTGATGAAATGAAATGCAGAAGGGTCACTTGTGATACAATAGTGAATAATTGTTATCAGGACTGATTGTGAGGGTTGGAAATGTGAAGGTAGACGTTTTGTAGCAAGGAAGGGAGTGATTAACTCTCCAGTCTAGGAGTGGAGGTCTCTAGGACCATCAATGGAGAAGAGCCGAGAGCAGGACCCTACCCAGAGAAGCAGCGAGGCCTGAGATAGAGGCAGAGACGATGATGTGGAGTGATGAAGCGGCTGGGGACTTTGGATCCAGAAAGGGAAAGGGACTGTGTGCTGAAGAATGGGGCAGGGGAGTATAGGGGGCAGGTTTATAGGGTATATACCCTTTGGTCAGTTGATGATGCATGGAGGGGATTGGAACCATGGCAGTGAAACAATATACAGTGGAATGAATGTAAAACTAAAGTTCTCTCTCATGTAAAATATAATTCACAATAAACATGAAAAAAAAAAAAAAAAGAATTGCAGAAAATTAAAAAAAATAAAAAGAATATGTCACTTCAAAGACATGTGACAAAAAAGTGCTTTGATTTTGTCTAGCACTTAATATCAATTATTTTTATTTAACTTAAAATGTTCTTTATTTGTTGTTGTTAAGTTGCTGTTGAGTTGATTGATTCGAACTCTTGACGATGTGTGCAGAGTAGAACTTCTCCTTAAGGTTTTCAAGGTTGTAACATTTAGGAGGCAGATTGACAGGTTAGTTTCCAGGGCACCTATGGGTCAGTTTGAACACCCAAACTTACAACTAGTAGTCAAGCACTTAACCATTTGCACCATCCAGGGGCCTTACAGGATGATGTATTGCCAGATTGAAGAATTAGAAAGTTGGCTTGCACTTTACTGAAAGACAGTATTCATAGAAAAAGAAAACATCATAACTTAAATCTGTAATGTATTAGTTCAAACCTGAAATAGAGAACAATAAATCTCAATGTCTGAGGGTGTTTTTTTTTGTTTGTTTTATTATGGGGTTTTTTTTTAAGCAAGAAAATGGTAATATTGTAGGCATGCTAACATAGGAAAATTCTATTTGTTTTGGCTTCTGTATTTTGTGTCTCAGTTTAAGTCTATTTCAAAATGAATCCAAGGGTTTGTGGGCATATATTATAATGTATTCCTGCTGAAATCTTCTTTTGACTTCCACATCTGAAATAAATCATCATTTCTCTGATAGCAACAGTTATACGTGAGCTCCAATGAAGGGGTTTCCCAAGTGTCTCTGCATCGCTGCCACATCTATGGCACAGCCTGTGCTGACTGCTGTTTGGCAAGAGACCCTTATTGTGCCTGGGATGGCCATTCTTGCTCTAGGTTCTACCCAACTGGAAAGCGGTGAGTAATGAGCATTCAGCTGGAAAACAAAATTCATGTTATTAAACAATATAGCATTAGCATCCCTTCTATTGTAGTATATTTGAAAAATGGCACTAAGAGTAATAGCTATATCATAGATAATCTTTGAATGAAGAAACTATGTTTTTCTCCACCATTCCTGTTGATCGCAAAGTACAGTACTTTGGAACGAATCCTTTCCACTTCAAGGCTTCTCTGCAGCAGCGCCCCCGTCTCCCCTCCTAATTCCTCAATGTAAAACAACATTTAGTTTTTTCCTTACATTACCTAATTAATGTCTTTTTGTTTTATATGACTTTAAATATGACTTTCACAGCATTTCTCTAAGCTGATAAATTATCTTGTTTTCAAATGCCTGCCCTAGTTCAAGGTACAGGAACATTGTTCCAGCATTAATGCCCTGGTTTGCTTTCAAAGCCTTTATGGCCATGTTGTTTCTTTAGAATAGTGAGTACATGATTGCCGGGTATGTTGGGAGAGAAAACGTAGTTTGATGCAGGGTTTCTTTGTTCAAGCAGAGGCTTGAACAGAATACACTGCACCAGATTGGAAGGGACCCCAGTGGGGAAATTGATTGTAGAACAAAGTCTAAGCAGAGTGGGTGATAAGCCAAGTACAGAGCTCTTTTCAAGCAAACCATCACAGGCCACGATTACTGAAGTGTCTACTACCTATAAATTAGGGTCAGCAAGGAGAGAAAAAATAGAGCCAACTGTGAACAGCAATTACTTTTCAAGTAAAGCACTGGACTGATCGTGTGTTGTTGTTGTTAAGTGACTGAGTTAGTTCTGACCCCTGGTGACCCTGTATAAGGTTTCCAAGGAGCAGCTAGTGGATTTGAACTATCGACCTTGTGGTTAGCAATCCAGTGCTTATGCTACAGCGCCATACCAGGAGTCCAATAGTGTGTTATAGGTCTTTTATTATCCATGACAGATTCAGGTTTTTCAGGATTTTTACAAATTAAAACAGTCATAGTACTTCTGCATATCAAGAATATTATGGTCCTTTTATCTTTGAGTTCAACAAATTTTTATTAGGAGGCAAATATTTGGCACATACAGTGAAAAACAAGACCATTAACAACAAAAAGTCAAAAATTCCTGCCTTCCCAAAGAATAAGTTCTAGCAGGAAGAAAGACTGTTAGCAGAAGGAGTTGCAATGTTAAGTAGGTGATCAGGGAAGGCCTTTTGAGGGATGACAATGGAGCAAGAGCTTATGTGTGATGGGTAATGGTGCCACGGTGTTATCTAATAAAGGAATGACATTGTAGAGGAGGCCCTACAGTCCCTAAAGCTGAAGTGCTCCTGAATAGTAGAAGGACAGTGCCACAGCTAATGTACTATGCCATCATGAGGAAAAGGAAGAAATGAAGGCAAGAGTCCACATCATGTAGTACTTTATGTCATTAAAAGAGCTCAGATGGCTGTCTTGCTGATCTGGTCACTTAGGCCAAGCCTTATTAATGCCTTCTGTATTTGAATGTCAGGAAACTTTGGGATATACTAAATACAGTTTGCCTAGCATGATGGTTTGTATATACGAGTACTACTTAATGCTGATCACAGGACAATAAATTCAGCCATCGTGAGTGATAATGCTTGCCTGTTGTTGTTGTTAAGTGTCATGGTGTCGGTTCTGACTCGTAACGACACTTTATAAGGTTTTCAAGGAGCAGCTGATGGGTTTGAATCACTGGCCTTTTGTTTGGCAGTCCATTGCTTACCCTACAACACCATCTCAGGAGTTCCATTGCTTGCTTAGGTTGCTGAAAATCACCAGCTCAGCCAAGAATTCACATGTGATGCTCATTATAATATACATTCTCAAGTTGGTAGTAAATAATGTCATGACTTTATAATATAGTAAATGTAAGACAGTAAAACCCTGGTATCAGAGTTATTCTAAACAATGGTGTTTGGTGTATTTCCTGAGATAAATGTGACTAATATTTCAATTTTTGTATTTGATTATATAAACTCAGATTGTCCACCTTGAAGGTTTGTATACATAAGTAAACTACTGCATACTACTGGTCACAGCATAGAAACATATAATCAAATGAAAAGCAAGTGACTATTTAGAAAAAGAAATATTTAAATGGCTAAAACATTTACACATATATTTCCAGAAATAGATACTTTGCATTATATTATATAAATTATTAACAATTTAAATTGACCTTAAAAATGAAATTATTTCTTCTGTTACTAATGACTTGAGATTAAATTTGCCTTACATGTTTAATAACTACTGCAAGATTGTAATATTCCTTGTTCTTAATGTTGAATATTTTATCTCTAAGGGTAAAATTAGTGAGACAGAATTAACAATTACCCCAATTAAGTGATAGTCTCATTCATTTTTCAACATTGAGAGTTAACAATTTAGCACTATGCTTCCAATTTTTAGAGTTCCCTTCCTTCTCACTTGCAGAATTGTTTAAATCCATGGTGCACTGCCAAGAGAAACTTAGTTACCCTGTTTTTATTTGTTAGATTAGGTAGTACAAGTAAATCTAAGCGTCATGAAATCAAATACTACGCAAAAAAGTAAATAAGGGTAAAATATTATAATATCGTCAATTTAACTTTTTAGTTTTTCATATATGTGCATATGAAAAACTTTTAAAGTTTAAAAGATTTTCATATACAAAAATATGCTTCTATATAAAGAGCTCTGGTAGCATAGTAGTTACGATTCGGCCTGCGAACCTTAAGGCCAGCAGTTCGAAACTACCAGCCGCTCCGTGGGAGAAAGATGAGGTGTTCTGCTCCCGTAAAGATTTACAGCCTTGGAAACCCTGTACAGGGTCGCTGTGGGTTGGAACCGACTTGACAGCACTTAACAACAACAATATAAGAGAGAGGAGTACTGGTGTGGCCCTGTGGGTTAATGTGCGGGACCTCGAGGTCTCTTTGAACTGCTAGGGTCTATATGAGTAGGTACTGATTTGTCAGCATTTAACAACAAAAAATATAAGAGCGAAATAAAGTAAATATTGCAAAATACAAGAATTCATAAATGTAAGCATTCACCTGTTTATTGTGCTTATGTGGCAGCTTTTCTATAGCTTTGAAATGTTTCCCAAAAAATTGGGGTAAATATTTAATCTAGTAAGTGAACAATTTTGCTTAATTCTATATTGTGTTCACATTACATATGTTATTTGATTTAGAAAAACTTTAATATGTCTTTAAAATATACAAAGTGTTCACTTTTGTAAAATAAGTTTTGTTTTATTAAGAAAAAATATATTAGAATGGAAAATGCTAGTGTGTTTGTAAAAGCAAAGTTTGAAAAAAATTATTCTAAATTAAGAATGTGAATGGATACTTATGCATTGTAGCATTTACGCATGATGTCGCTGAGTCGCACAAATTGTTAAGGACTTGATGACTGCATGAAATGTTAGTGGTTTGAAGTCACCCAGAGTTTCCTCAGGAGACAGGTCTAGCAATCTGCTTCGGAAAGGTCACAACTTTGACAACCCCACAGAACAGTTCTAATCTGCACATGTGGATTTGTCATGAGTTGAAACGCACTGGAGCAACTAACAACATACATATAATAAATAGGAGGTTCGTGACAATCCCACCGCAATAGTGGAACAGAAGGAACTGAATTTACTCTGTAAGATAACAAGGAAAAGTACCTACCCCCTCATTGAAGCATTCAATAAAAAATGCCAAATAGTCAGGTCAGACATTTAGACCTCTTTTTGTTTTTGTTTTTAGTTACTTTATGGGATCTTATTGTCATTGATAAGTGTTGTCAAGTCAATTCTGACTCAGCAACTTTGTATGGGTTTCCGAGACTGCAAATTCTTGTGGGAGTTGAAAGCCTCGTTTTTGTTCAACAGAGTGGCTGGTGGACAAAAACCACTGACCTTATGATTTCTAGCCAGTCTTTACCCTACAGAGTCACCGCATTCCACACTAGAAAGTTTAGGAAATCAAAATTCAGGAAAATGAGGAAATTAAGAGTGAGTCATTTACCATGGAAAAATCAAGAGTCATTTACCATAGTTTAATTGGCCATGCTAATTTTATATGTTTCTGTACTTATAGGAGGAGCCGAAGACAAGATGTGAGACATGGAAATCCATTGACTCAATGCAGAGGATTTAATCTAAAAGGTACTAGAGTTAACAATGGTGAAGAGTAGTTATGTTCAATTTCACATTTTAGTAAAGGAAATACATGAAATCCAGCTATCATTTTAAAAAAAGATTCATTATAAAACTTACTCATATTCATAGAGAGTGATTAATAAATAAAACATTTGTATGTATATTGAAAATTTTTGAGCAACAAATGTCTAGGTACATAGATACCTTGGGTTTCTTGATAAGTCTTTACATTTTTATAATTGTAGACTTTCTTAGTTTTTATACTTCTTAAGGAAGAAACATTTTGATTTTGCGTTTACCCTTGAAGAATAAGTAGAGCAACATCTTGATTTTGCAATTAGTAGCCATTCCATGTACTTTTGAAAAGGTTACCTTGCATTCAGTGTTTACTCTAATCCCTTCCTTTCTATGCTGATGTGGAGATAATCTGTTACTATAAGTCTCGCACCAGTACCTTCCCACATTCACCTCCATCATTCACAAGGAACCAGGGCCTCGAACTAGTTTAGTCATGGGAAACTGAGAAGAGACATAGTGAGCCCTTTCAGGAACCTGATGTTACACAGTGGATTATTGCCAAGGCTGTGGAGGGCAACACATCTTCAGAACAGAGTGGTGAGCTGAACACCTAGTTTCCCACTATACCAGTCAAGAGATTTGGTTTCTATACAGTGCTCACACAGCCTTTGTTCTCTAAGGAGGATATTCAATTTCTAACATGGTGTCTACCCATAATTTTTCCCTTTCCAATTATTGTTCTGGAACACCCACATTTTACATATTTGGGTCCATGTCAGTTTCACTTGGTCATGGCTGAACTAGAAAGAACCAGTTGGAAGTCCTACAAGTCACTCTCAGTAGACTGCCCTAGCTCCCCTGGGTGCTACTAATGTACTGTTGCCAACAACTAGTATTGAAATGCCTATTGCCAGTCGTCTTATATATGAGATTTTCTTTAGACAAGAATGGCATCCTTGTCACTAACTTTACCCCAGGAGCAAATTAAAACAGAGTTTTAAGTCATACAAAGGTCTAATTAAAGGATTAAATACAGGTTACCATTTCTCATTCTACTGAGTGTTTCAGAAATGTGTTTTCTTTCTTATTAATTATGAGATTAGCTGTAGCGGTAGGAATAGTGGTAGTGAAGGTAATGGTGCTGACTTTGTGTCAGAACCCAAAGTAAATACTTTTCAATGGAATATTTTACCTAATACTTGTATTGAATTGTGCCCCCGTAAATCTCAATCTCTATGCCTGTGGTTATAATCCTGTTTGGAAATGCGCTGTCTTTGTTATGTTAGTAATCCAGGATTAGTGTAGGTTCTGTTTTGACTCAATCTCTTTAGACATATAAAAGATATTAAACAAGCAAACACAGGACAGATAGGTTACGATAGATGCCAAGATACATGGAGATCTCCAAGGAACTAGGAAATGGCAGCTGAAAAGTCAAGCACCTTCCTTCAAAGCTGCCAGTGAGAGAAAGCCTTTCCCTAGACCTAGGCTCTGTGGGTCGCTGAGTTGGTACCCACTCGATGGCATCTAACAACAACAAGACCTATGCTTGGGGAGTCCTGGTGTGGCGCTGTGGATTAACGTGCTGGACTGCAAGGTCTATTTGAACCACAAGGTTGGCCGTACAAGTTCACCAACCACTCCTTGGAAATCCTACATAGGATCAATATGAGTCAGAACTGACTCAAAGTCACTTAACAACAACAACGTGCTCTTAATTTGGATTTCTGTAGTCCTGGTATGGCGCTGTAGGAAAAATACTGGGCAGCTAACCACAAAGTTTGTGGTACAGACCCACTAGCTACTCCTTGGGGATCTTATACAGGTTACTACGAGTTAGAACAACTTGATGGCACTTAGCAACAACTACAATAAGCTGCTAAATAATGAGGAAATACATTTCTATTAGTTAAAGTTATTTACTTGTGGTATTTCTATTATAGCAATACTCAGTAACTAAGTAAATGCTCAACATAAGGTTGAGTATTATACTCATTTTTACAATAAAGATTCTCTCCACATTATTTTAAAGTCTAAGCTACCACATAATTATTCTGAGTGCTTTTCCTAATTTAATATTTTCAGTAAAGTGTAGGTATGAAAAAGACTGTAACTATGAAAAGAGAAATATTACCTAACTCACAAGTATGCTACAGTAATTAAATGTGATACTAAATAGAATCTCTGAAGTAGAATAATTCTTAAATAAGCACTGTTTCTTTCTTTTCTCCTTCCCTTTATATTAAACAAAGCAGATAAACAATGCAATACTTTGCCTGCTAAATGAATATTCCTTTCTTTTGCTAGTTGCCATAATGGTTCCCAATTTTATAGTAAATTAACATGCAAATCAGAGATTAAGTTCTAAATTCCAGTGTTTCTTCCTCTCTCCTCCTTCCTCTGTCCTCTTTCCCTTCTCTGCTTTTTCTCTCTCATCTTTTTTTCTGTCTCCACTGTCTCTCTCTCTCTTTTTATTTCTGATTCTCAGCATACAGAAATGCAGCTGAAATTGTTCAGTATGGAGTTAAAAATAACACCACTTTCCTTGAGTGTGCCCCCAAGTCTCCACAGGCATCCATCAAGTGGTTGTTACAGAAAGACAAAGACCGGAGGAAAGAGGTGAGTAATGCAGCTTAGCAGCAATCAATCAGGGTTTGGGGAAGACATTAAATCACTGTTCCTCAGTGAGATTCAGATCAAACAAAAAAGAAAAGGCTTATGAACATCCTTTTATGTTTGAGGGATAAAAAGTGTCACCTTCTTTAAAATCATTTGTCCTTCGACTTGATAGATTAATTCAAAATTCTCTCTCCCTGCTCATTGCTATAACATGGTGATTGAAAAAAGGACTGGGGCTCTCTGAGTGTGGCATTGATGTGAGGAAGCATTTGTAAAAGAAACAAGATGTGTGCAAATCCAGAAGCCAAGTTCTCACACAATAGCACCTTTATGTGATTCATCAGATAAACTGGGGTTTAAAAAAAATTCAATTTTCCTCAGCAAATTAGACTAAACTATAACCTTTGTTGCAAATAACATTTTTATGCTATGTGGTGCTGTTTCCATTGCTCTAGTATTCATAATTCTTGACTTTACTTTCAAGAATTTGCCTTCCTTTAGGGACATGGTAAGGGAAATACCCTAGAATTTCGAATAAAAAAAAGTATTTGCACTAAAACTTTCACTGTTTGGAAATAGCTGTATGTAAAGGGAAGCATTGTAAGTAATGGAGTCCTAGTGTTGCCTGCGGGTTAATGCACTGGACTGCAAGGTCAGTTTGAGCCTCTAGGTCTGCAGTTGAAACCCAACAGCCACTCAACAACAACAAATATATATACATATACACATATATGCATATACTTATTGTATATCACGTGTATGTGTGTGTGTGTGTGTGTGTGTGTGTGTGTGGTGGCTGGTATGCCATGGAGTCCGTTCTGACTCATAGCAACCCTGCATAGTGTTTATCTTTACAGTAGCAGAGCCTCATCTTTCTCCCAAGGAACACAGCTGGTAGTTTCAAACAGCTGACTTGTGGCTAGCAGACCAACTTGTAACCGATATGCTACCAGAGTTCAATATATATCTCTATATATGTGTGTATACATATATGTATATACATATATATATATATGTTGTTAAGTGCTGTTGAGTTGATTCTGACCCATAGCGACCCTGTATAGGGTTTCCAAGGAGAAGCTGGTGAACTTGAACCACCAACCTTGTAGTTCAAATGGCTTTGCAGTCTGGTGCATTAACCCACAGCGCCACACAATTATGCCTATGCACTCAATCACTGATTCAAACCCACCAGTGATTCTTCAGAAATCCTTTATAGGGTCACTACAAGTCAAAACTAACTTGATGTCATTTAACAGCAACAATATATATCCACATTGCAAAATATATCATCAAAGAAGCCTTTTTAAAATTTCTTCAGTCTAATTGACTTTAAAAAGTTTGGAATGGATGTGACTTACAAAATACTTACTCTTCAAATTTATTGGTTTAGCCTAAAATGTGCAATGATGATTATCATATGGATGGGAGATATTAGGCAACACTGAGGCAATAGTTTTGAATAAATGGGCATGAACACTCCTTTTTCCTTTCCCCTTTTTCCTTCATGGCAATGATTTTACTTTTCTTTTTGGAAGTTCATTAATACTGAAGTCTGTTTGTATACAGCTTTACCATTTAGAAACAAATTTTATGTAATTTATTTTGTTTTTATATTCAAATTATTTTTTTCTTCAGTGAAACACCATTCCAAATTATAGAGTTCCAGAATCTTCCCCCTCTGAGGATTTTATCTTTTCATTGTCAGCTTTGTGGCCTTGCCATAATTATATAGACTTCAAGCATTTCTGGTGTCCAGCAAATAATTTTTCCAGTAGAAAATTCTAAAGTTGTTCATATTAAACCATAGTTTTTGTTAGCTGCCATTGGAAGGTAAAACCACTCAAAAGAAATCTTATTAGACAATGGCATTGCAGATTATTATCATCATAAGAAGTGTTTGAGAATGTTTAAAACACTTCTTGTGCTTATATGTTTTAATTTGGTAAAATCTGCATCAATTCATTGAAAAGGGATGTAACTAAACATTTTCATGTTGTTGTTAAGTGTTGCCAACTCAGTTCTGGCTCATAGTGACCCTGTATAGGGTTTCTGAGGAATGACTGGGGAGTTTGAACCACTGACTTTGTGGTCCAGTACTTATTCTACAGCACCACACCAAGTCACCCTTTCCATTGTAGTTCCCAGTTTTTAGCAAATAGATGAGTAGTTTTGCAAAATTAAAACTATTCTAGGATGGAATCGATATTTTAAGTTACCTGTGAATTTCAGTTACATGTGTATTGGGTGGGGTTTAGATTCCAAAACTTTGTTTTTCCCAATGTGGCTAATCAACTATTTCTACAAAATGAGAATGCACTTTAAGCTGTTCTTTTCCTCACAATAGATTACATCCTCATGCTCTCTTTAGTAGCTTCAATAAGAAGTAATACCACATGAAAAAAGGGCAGTTGGACGGACCAAAAATCTGTTCCCACTGAGAAGGAAGTTCATTAGCACTCATTGCTTTTACCTAGTTTGTGAAAGTTAGCAATATTATGTATACATTGATCATATCTGTTAAGAAATGGTAAGTTGGATTTTCAAAAATCTGACATGTCTGTTTTCTAGGTCAAGCTGAATGACCGAATCATAGCTACTCCACAAGGACTCCTGATTCGTTCCATTCAGGATTCTGACCAAGGACTTTATCACTGTATTGCAACAGAGAACAGTTTCAAGCAGACAATAGCCAAGATCAACTTCAAAGTTTTAGATTCAGAAATGGTGGCTGTTGTGTCAGACAAATGGTCTCCATGGACCTGGGCCAGCTCTGTGAGGGCTTTACCCTTCCACCCAAAGGACATCATGGGGGCATTCAGCCACTCAGAAATGCAGATGATTAATCAATACTGTAAAGATACTCGGCAGCAACATCATCATGGTGAAGAGTCCCAAAAGATGAGAGGGGACTATGGCAAGTTAAAGGCTCTCATCAACAGCCGGAAAAGTCGCAATAGGAGGAATCAGTTGCCAGAATCATAATGTTTTCTGATGTGGGATTTGTGCTTCCAGTAACAAATAATTTGTCAACAATCATCAGATTTTGAGCAAAGAATCCTGTGATTTACCCAGATGAAATTTCTGAGAAAAGAGGTCACTCACTCCTAAAGTGAATTTTATATGAACTGAAATGAGCATTCATTTATTGTATGATATTGACTAGCACTAGACATGCCATGGTCCTTATGGTGCACATAAATATTTAACTTAACCCAGATTTTATTTATGTCTTTATCTTACCTTTTCTTCAAAATTAATATGATGACTAGAAAACTAGAATTGTTGCATCCCTCAAGGGACAAGGGCCATAACCCTGTGATCTCCTTCCTTGATTGTCAATAATTTTATATAGCAAACAAATGTCAAGTTCACAATTTTCACATAGTAAAAGTCATATAAATGAATGTGACAAGGCAGCTGCTAGAAGAGACGTAGAATAGACATCTGAAAGAAAGAGGGCATCTCAAAGTTGTATAAAAACACAAGTGATTTATAAAGAGAATACAATGATTTTATATGCTTCTAGTGTAATATATTATTGGTGTTTTTAAAGATTTGTAAAAATCGTCAATTGCTGATATCTGTCATTGACCCTTAGTCCCTTGTTTCAGAAAGATAGAATGAATAACTCACACCATAAAGATCTTTGTTGGAATTTATGTGAGTGAACCATTGAAGTTTATGTATGAATGTTAACAGTCTTCTAAACAGAAGCACTTTCTATTTTTAGAAATTATTTAAGTTATTCTAAACTCAGAGAATATAAACTTACACTGTTGAATTGATTACTATTTTGTCCTCTTTTTTTTTTTTTTTTTATTCTGTGTATTAAATTAAACAGTAAAGGAGAAAAAAAACTTTTGAAATGCCAAGCTTCTATATAAGGGAAAAACCATCAAAAAAAGAAAGAAAGAAAACTTCATTAAAAATAATTTGTAACAAATGTGGAGCTAGGTTTTCAACTTCAATAATTAAGTTTAATGATTAACTCAATTTTTAAACCAACCTAACATAGCATACTTATTTGCAAGTCAGTACTTCCTATTTTAAAATTATTATTTTTGCGTGTGATGGAATGGTGTACCTATACTGAGAAACAATTTTTTTAATCCTTTGTTAAAAATAGACATTCTTTTAAAACACTCCTGGTGCACTAAGCCCACTGGTATATAAATATAAATGTGGTAAACTTGTGATTAATGAGATCAATTGTCACCTAATTATATGTTTGGAGAATTTTATTAGGAATTATTTAATATTAAACTTTTTTACTATAATTCAGAATTGTTGTTGCAGTTGTTAAGTACCATCCAGTAGTTCCAAGTCATAGCCACCCTGTATAAGGTCTCCAAGGAGTGACTGGTGAGTTTGGACCACAGACCTTGTGGTCCAGTGCTTATCCCATAGCACTACACACGAGAAATATGGCAAGCTTGATCTTTTATTCATGCCCTTACAATTTGTTTAAAAACATAGCTTTCACTTTTGCATTTTATTTGCTTTTTAAGACATTTTCATATTTCCATGAACACAGGTTAAAAACAAAATCTGTACCATATACCTAATAACAATCTATTACAAAGATTTTCTGTGAAACAAACCATGAAGAAGGCAATAAAGGTAGCTATATTGCCTTTCTAAGCACTGGAGTATAGGACTTCAGTGATTAAAATCAATATCAAAATAGAAATGATCTTTGATTAGTCTCTAACAATATGATTTCTTACTTATGTGGTGGTAAAGGATTATGTTTTAAGAGAAGGCTTCAATGGAACAAACAAACCAACAAAAAATTAAAATACACAGCATAAATAAAACCAAACTTGATTAAAAATAAATAAATTGTTTCAAATGTGTGTAGTTATAAAATAATCTCTAAAGCAGCTTACCAATAGTTTCCACATCTACATGCACAAATTGAAATGTGTATCAAAGTAAGTCCAAAATCAGCTTCTATAACTTAACAAATCTACATATAACAAACTTAAATGTAAAATGTTTTAGAGTCCAAGCATGGGTAAACAACACAGGCCCCATTGCTTCATGTAAACCCAAACTGATAGACAGACGATAAGCGTGTTTAGTTTTGTAATATTATTTGTGTTATTTAATGCCTTCTATTTTGAACATTATTAAATTGTATATACTTTTATTACTTTAAAAATACAGAAATCCATCTTGAATGTAACTATGCCAAATGTAAAAAAAAAATCTCAGAAATATCATTAATATACACTGAATGTTGGTGTTTGATTGGTTTGATGTAGTTACATAGTTTGATGACTTCATATGTTTTTCATTTGAAATGTATATAAAATGTCTTAGTACGCACTTTTTTTTTCAAAGTGTAGGTTTGTGGATAGACTTTAGTTTGAGGAAACTGTCATTACAGTGAATGTTCACTCTTCTGTGTAAGAAAAGAAACAAAATGTAGTTAGCAAATTGATATTTAATTGGATATTGAATATATCGTTCATGTAGCAAAATAAAACACGTCAAATTCCCCAAAGATCTCTTTAATGTTTCTTTTGTTAACGGAGGGTTAAATTACTTGTTGGCATAATGGAATCTAAAATTCTTGTCATTATTTTTATCATTTTGAATTTATTGTTCTTTCTTCATTTTTATGATGGTAACACACCTGTTGTTAAGTACAGTCGAGTTGGTTCTGACTCATCATGATCCTGTATAGGATTTCCAAGGAGTGGCCAGTGGGTTTGAACTACCAGCCTTTCAGTTAGCAGTCCAGTACTTACCCTACAGTGCTACACCAGGATGACAATAACACATATAGATAGTTCAAATTTTTACACTTCCAGAATAGTATACATGGAACACTCTCCATGCGCTGCTATTACTCATTTAGCCATGTTCTATCATCAGAGGTATCTGGTGTCCTCAGTTTTCTGGGAATATCATCTACAACTCCTCTGGTCTTTGGTCCTTGGTGTCTAATGTATCAAATCTGTTCTTGAGATGGTCTCTAAATTCAGAGGGGCAGACTCAATGTCATATCTTGGCTTTCCTGGACTTATTTTAGTTTTCTTCAGCTTTAGCACAAACTTGCATATGAGAAATTAATGGTCTGGTCCATAGTCAGCCACTGGTATTGTTTAGGCTGATGATATTGGGCTTCCCTATTGTGTCTTCCCACAGATATAGTACATTTGATTCCTGTGTATGGTATCTGGTGAGGTCCATGTGTATGGTTGTTGTTTATGTTATTGAAAAAAGGTATTGCAATAAATAAGTCACTAGTGTTGCAAAATTCTATCATGTGGTCTCCAGCATTGTTTCTATCACCAAGGCCATACAGTTTAACTTCTGATACTTCCTCTTTATTTCTAAATTTTGCATTATGATCCAAGTAATTATCAAATCATCTTATGTTTAATCAATTGCAAACTGAAGATATTGGTAGAATTCTTCTGTTTCATAATTATTAGTTTTAGTGGTTGGTGCATAAATTTTAATAATGACGGTATTAACTGGTCTTCCTTGCTGCTGCCATTGAGTTGGTTCTGACTCATAGGACCCTGCATACGGTTTCTGAGGAGGAGTGGCTGGTGAGCTTAGACTGCCAACCTTGCAGTCCAGTGCATTAACCCACAGCACCACACCAGGACTCCTTGTAGGTGTAAGAATAGCCTATCACAGACTGCATTGTACTTCAAGATAGATCTTGCAATGCTTTTTTTGTCTATGAATGCAGCACTATTCCTCTTTAATTTGTTGTTCCTTGCATTGTAAATCCTATGATTGTCAGATTCAAAATTGTCAATACCTGTTCATTTCCACTTACTAATGCCTAGGATATCAATATTTATGTATTCCATTACATTTTTGATGACTTTCCATTTTTCTAGATATATATTTCATACATTTCAAGTTACAACTGTTAATAGATGTGTGCAGTTGTTTCTTCTCATTGTGAATTGTATCCCATCAACAAATGAACATCCTGAAAGGTTTGCTCCATCCACATCATTAAGGCCAATTCTATTTTGAGGAGGCAGCCCTTCCCCAGTTATCTTTTAAGTGCCTCCCAACCTGCGAGGCTCATTTTCCAGCACAGTAACAGACAGTGTTCTTCTGCTATTTATACAGTTTTCAGTGACTAACATTCAGAAGTGGTTTTTCTTTCCTTCTTAGTCTTAGTCCAGAAGCTTTGCTGAAACCTGCCCATCACTGATGACCATGCTATTATTTTAAAAAGAGCACATCAACACAGAAGCCACTAGAGTATGACAGATGAATGATGGAATCTTTCAATTAGCTCGAGTAATTGTCTTTCTGAGTCTTTGAATTTTTCTTTATATAAAAGCATACCATCTGCAGATAGAGATTGTTTTACTTTTATGCCATTTGGATGCCATTACTTCCCTTTCTTTCTTTTTTTTTTTTTTTTTGGGATATATTTGATTCCTTTACTTCCTTTTCTTTTTTAATAAATCTTTTTGTTTTATTGACTTTTGTTTTTTAAATATCTTATTGTAAATTGAGTGAAGGTTTTCAGAGCAGATCATCAGTTTTACATTCACAAACATACACTTCAATTCATCTCAAAATCTCACTTAAAACCTCATTTTAAAGAACCAATAGAGCCATTTTGGAAGAAGTGCAGCCAGAGTGCTCCTTGGAGGCCAAGATGGCCAAACTTCATCTCTCATACTTCAGAAATATTGTCAGGAAGGACCAGTCGCTGGAGAATGGTATCATGTTTGGTAAGGTGGAGGGTCAGAGAAAAATAGGAAGACCCCCAACGAGAAGGATTAGCCAAGTGGCAGCATTGATGGACTCAAGTGTGGCAACAATAGTGATGTTGGCCTAGGATTGGGTGCTGTTTCATTCTGCTGTGCATAAGGCTGATTCGATGGCACCTAACAACAACAATGAATGGTGGACGTGGCCCTGTAGGATAAGTACAGGACCACAAGGTCCTTTGAACAGCAAAGTCAGTGGTTCAAACTTATCAGTCACTC